ATTCATTTTCTCTAGCATGTCATCTTTTTGGGATTTCAATTTAAATTTAGAATATTTCCAACTAGTACTTGAGACTTAATTACTCCAATTAGGTCAGTAAATATTTTTGGCAGTTAACTTGTAATGAATTATTTAATGACCTTCTAGTTCACATTCCTATGGACAAAGATTAAAATGGTATTTCATATATATTTTTCATCCAGTTGTTTATTCTCTCGGCTGATTAAAAAATAATAGACAATCCGTGTCATAACTGAATCTCAATATACTTCAAATCTAATAATAATGGATATTAAAATCTAATGGATATTAAAAAAAATAATAGACAATCCGTGTCATAACTCTATATTATAAGTAGTAGATGTCATATATAACTTTAAATCTAATGGATATTAAAGTCCTAATAATAATGTATGTCAAAATCTTAACTTATAGATAGAGATAGAGATAGACATATATTAAAATGAATAATGCCTCAACTTTTATTTCACTTAACTTAAAATTACAATTTCTATGTATTTATACAGCTTTACTAACAAGAATAATAAACTAACTTTCTAACTGCACTAATAGAAAAACTATTTACAACTGATTTCTACACTCCCCTCAAGTTGAAGGATTAAAACATTTTTCATCCCCAACTTGCGCACCAAATGATTATGTTGTTGTATCCCAAGTGCTTTGGTTAAAACATCAGCAAGTTGTTCTGCAAAAAGTATATATTCAGTCTTGATTATCCCTTCTTGTATCTTTTCTCTAACAAAAAGACAGTCTATATCAATATCACTACAAGAAATTTAGATTATTTCAACAAAATTATTTATCACTAAAAGTACTAAATTTGTCACAATATATTTATTCTGACCAATTTTATTTGTTACCATGTTTATTAGAACAACCTTGACATGTAAAGTATATTGTGACAAAATTGTGTTCGTTACCATAGTGTAATATTTATTGTAATAATGAAAATTCGTTACTATAATCTACTTATCGCAATAAAATATATGTCAAAATTAATTAATCATTTCGTCACAAGCAGTACATTTTGTCATAACTAACTTATATTTAAACATCGAATATAAATGATTATTTTTGTGACGAAAATACATAAGGAAATAAAATTTATTTTGTCGTAGTTGCTATTTAGTCACTAAATGTAACTTACAGAGACAAAATATTTGTCAAAATAAAATAATTATTTTAGCACAAAAAGTAAATTTCGTCACAATTAAATTAAAATATAACATAAAAAAGAAAATGTTTTCGTAACAAAAAGACATATTACAACAAAATGTATTTCCTTTGCTACTTTGATTTCGACGCTAAATATTTTTTATAACTTTTTTACTGTGATTAAATAATTTTGTTACAATTTGTTATTGTGAAAGAATATTATTTGTCATAATTTTTTATAATGAGAAATTAATATTTGTTAAAATTGTTATTTTGATTAAATAAATTTATCATGATTTTTTATTTTTTTCAAAATATTGAGAGGAAATAAATTTGACATAACTGTTTACTTTGATTAAATTAAATCACTTTGTTGCAATTTGTTATTGTGAAAGAATATTACTTGTCACAATTTTTTATGATGATAAATTAATATTTGTTATAAATTATTATTTTGATAAATAAATTTGTCAGAATTTTTTATTTTGACAAAATATTGTGACAAAATAAATTTGATATAAATTTTTGTAGATGCTCGATTTGTCTAAGGATTGCATTTCATTGTTATTTGCATTTATATGTATAAATTATTAGTTAGTGATATATATTAATAATATTATTATACAAAATATATACATATATAAGCTAAAATAAAGTTTAATTATTACATGCCCAATAACAAAGCATCAAGCGAGCCAACCCATCAAGCCCAACGCCAGCCCAAGTTGCTAGGGTTTGAAGAAACCCTAGCCTTCATCTTATTCCCCAGCCGCCACTCCCCTGGACCGTTAGATCTGCATTCCATCTAACGGTCCAGATCAAAGGACCATTAGGGTTTTGACCTAATCAACAACCAAAACGCGCCAAGTCACCGCCGCCACGCTCTCCCGCATGAGATGTACGCGCCTGTTTTTCTCCTCTGCCCAAGGAATGCCACCACCGAATTCGTCGCCAGCTGCCTTGGGACATATGAAGATAGCCTCGAGGTAAAAAATATTTACCCCCTGTGTTGTTGCCATCACCACCGAGCCTCTCTCCTTAGACAGACCATCCGAAGCTAATAGAAGAAAAAAAATCAAATGAGAACAAAGGGGAAAATCAATCCCAAAACATGCAACCAACTCAAAGTCAAATAGGGAGATCCCCTATATCAAAAGAGGGAGCAACACAACCAAAAAAGTGAGGTGAACACATCATCAAGGAAAAAACCAAAAAAGCTTTCGAGTAAATAATGAAAATAGAAAAAGGAAATACCAAAAGAAAAGCAAGAAAGAGAGAGAAGAGGACTAGGTTGCTAGTGTTTGTTTTAGGTCGAGTGGTGGGTATTTTTGGGTTAAGGGAGCGACGGGGGTTATTTTTCAGTAGGTTAGTCGAACTTCGGCTGTCGTGGGCAGCGGTGGAGTGTTTCGGCGAACGGTAGCCGGAGGTAGTCGGCTTCCCTCCCGCGAGGGAAAGAAGAGAGAAGCCAGAGAGAAACAAAGTTCTCTCCTTTTAGAGAGAGAGGAAAATGAAAAAGATGTGCAATTTTTGGCCATGACTTGGGTATATATATCCACACCAAAACTACGTCGTTTCGAGGAAGGGATTTCTGTGTTTTAGGTGCGTGGGTAAAACCCTCCCCAGGTTCCTTTAACTTTGTAAATTTATGATTTAGTCACTAAAATAGATTTATATTCATTTTAATTTGTATTTTAAATTTTATTTGCGTTCTGTTTTAGTCTTTTTTTACTTCTTTTGATTTTTGATTTCGAGTTGTTGCTTTCATTTATTCTAATTTAATTTTTTTAAATCTTGGTAAATTTGTGTGTGAATTTTAAATTTATTTTTGTTGCTTTATTTTGTCGATTAGTATTACTGTCTATTTAATATCCCATGATTTTTGCACTAATTTAAGACAATTAAATACCAAGATGGCTTGTTGACTGTTCGATCCCATTGATTCTTTCCTTGCTTTGGTTTTTGCAAACGTGTATTACTCTATGTTATATATGAATTTAGGTTCTGTTTACAGCTGGTGACCTTAGCTATCACATTAAATGTGATATATATATATATCCGTGTGCCTTATTTCATCCATATGTCTATATTCTAGGCATGTTTGCTTTTAGATTCTATTTTACTCTCTGTTTTCTTTTATTTTACTCCGTTTATATTTTAATCATTGTCCATGTTTGTATATGTTCGGGTAAATGTTTGATTCAATCCTAAAATTTTAATAATTTCAATTTTCGTCCTATATAATAATGTTGGTATATTTACGATTCTGGTGCCTAATTTGTACAATATTTGCAATGGTGACCCTAGGCTTTGCTATTTTGCAGTTTGTTCTTTAAAGTTTGGTATTTAGAGTTTCTGTCTTTTTGTCACATGTTATCACTATAATTAAAATTTATAACTACAAGTATAATTTCTCACAAAAATATGAATACCATTATTTTTTGTGACAATGTTTTTTGTAATAATTATAAACACTTATAGTTAAAAAATATTATTACTATATGATTTTTCTGGTGCAAAAAAATATGGAGAAAAATCTTTATGACAATATATTTTGTTATTATATAACATTTTTTACATTAAAAATAAGGAGAAATGAGAAAGGGTTCTAATAATATAATTTTTCATAATGATTAAAATATATAAGTACAAAAATAATTTATTACAAAATACTTGAATTTTATTATTTGATGTGATAATTTTTCTATAATAATAACTATAAATTATAATTATAAAAATTGTCAATATAACTTTTGAAACAAAAAATAGTGGAGAAAAATAGTTATGGCAATTAATATATGCTATCACTATTAGTTAAAATTTATAACTACAAATATAATTTGTCACAAAAAGGTGAATATCATTATTTTTTTGACAATGTTTTTTGTAATAATTATTAACACTTATAGTTACAAAATTTGTCACTATATGACTTTTTTGGCGTAAAAAAATATGGAGTGAAATCTTTGTGATAATATATTTTGTCACTATAATTAAAACATATAACGACAAACATTGTTTTTTACTAAAAACTTGAATCACATTATTTGTTGTGTCAATTTTTTTGTAACAATAATTATAGCTTATAGTTACAGAACATGTCACTATATGATTTTTTTTACCAAAAATTGGAGATAATCATTTGTGACTATACATTTTGTCACTATAATTAAAATATATAATTACAAACAAAATTTGTCACAACAAATCTAAATCTCATTATTTGTTGTGATAATTTTTTCTGTCATAGTTACTAAAACTTTTAGTTACAAAAGTTGTCACTATATGTTTTCAATTTGGGGCCAAAAAATTAGAGGAAAAAATTTGTGACAAAAAATAGTAATAAAATTTATTTTGTCACCATATGTTACACATGTTTGTTAATTATGACAAATTATTATAACGATTTTAGCTTTTGTCATAATTGTATATCTTTTTTTAATCTAATGTGGCGATTATTTATTTTGTCAAAAAAAACTACTAATAGTTACAAAATTAATTTTGAAAAAAATTAAATTTATCACAATAATAGAAATTTCTTGTAGTGTATGCTTGGTCCTTTCATGAAACACCGAATTTGCTAAAATTTGCAAAGTTGTTTTACTATCGTTGTACAACCTTGTTGGTCGTGAGATATCAGCTTGTAACTCCTATAAAAGACCATTCAACCACAATATTTCAGCTACAACAACTGCCATGCTTCAGTATTCAGCTTCTGCTGAAGATCTTGCTACTAGATTTTGCTTTTTTAATTTCTAGGATATCAAGGAATCACCCAATTTTATACAAAAATCAGTTACTGATTTACGTGACATAGAACATGAAGATCAATCCGAATCACAAAATGCTATTAATTGGCTCTTGCTTTCTTTTTTCAACAATATCCCTTGACCCGGTTCTTTCTTCAAATACTTAACAATTCTTAATGCTACCTCGAAATGTATTCTTTTTGGTTGTTGCATAAATTGACTGAGATGATGAACTGCAAACTTGATATCTGGTCGAGGTCGAGTATGCATTGGGTATATTAGTCTTTCAATCAACCTTTGGAATGTTGGTTTCTCTTCAACTAATACTTCATCTTTTAGTTGTTGCAAGTGTTCATCATATTCTGTGGTAGTAAGCTTCAAGTTATGTTCTAAAGGATTAAAGGCTGGTTTAACTCCCTCAATACCAATCTCCTTTAATAACTCTAAAGCATATTTCCTTTGGTTCAGTAAAATTCCCTTTTCTGACCTCAAAACCTCAAGCCCCAAGAAATATTTTAAATCTCCTAGATCTTTTATCCTAGAATTACGATTTAGCATATCTTTCAACTCATTAATCAAAGCTAAATCATTTCCAGTTAATAGGAGTTCATCTACGTAAATAAGCATCACCACCAATCTTTCATCTTCTTTTTTTGTAAACATTGAATAGTCAAACTTACTTTGCTGATATCCTGCAGCAACCAATGCTTCAGTAAGCTTCAAATTCCACTATCGTGAAACTTGCTTCAAACTGTAAAGAGATTTTCGCAAGAGGCATACAATATTCTCCCCTGGCTACAAAACCCTTCAGGCAACTTAATGTATATCTCCTCAAAGAGATCAACTTGGAGAAAAGCATTATGAACATCCATTCGAAAAAGAGGCCAATCATTCATAGCATCAAGAGCAAGAATAGTCCTAACAGTGACTAATTTCGCTACAGGAGAGAATGTTTCAACAAAATCGATACCCTCCTTTTGATTATAACCTTTAGCAACAAGATGTGCTTTAAAACTCTCAACTATACCATAATCCTTGTATTTGACTCGAAATACCCATTTACAACCAATGGGAGTCACTCATTGAGGCAAAGACACTACAGACCAAGTGCCATTGGTTTCTAAGGCATGAATTTCCTCTTGCATGGCTTTAATCCAAACCAGGTTTGAAATGGCTTCTAAATAAGACTGTGGTTCAACAATGGATGAAGTAGTAGCAAGAAATTTTGAGTATGAACATGCAAATGGTCATAAGAAATAGTGTGAGAAAAGGGTACTTACAAGTAGGAGAAAATGAAGAGGATTGATTGGAACACACATAATCTTGTAACCATATTGGAGGTATAGACGCTCGAGAAGATTTACGCAAAGGAATAACGGATGAACCTGATCATTCAGGTAAATATGCTGATAATGAAGTAACAGGGGATATAGGAGGTGGAGACAAAACCAAAAATTCTGAATTATCCACATAAGACTGAGCAGGGAAAAAAGAATCAGATTTTTGAGGAAAACTAAAAGGAAAAATAGATTCGTGAAATACAAAATCACTATTGACAAAAAAAACTTTTTTCAAGATCAAATAAAAGGTAACCTTTTTGAGTGGATGAGTAACCAAGAAACACAGAAGGAATAGCTCTTGAACCAAATTTATCAGTCAAATGTGCATAGGTTTCATAAGCAAGACACCCAAACAGATGAATATGAGATAAGGAAGGTGATGTTTTATACAACAATTCAAAACGAGTGAGCCAATACAAAATAGAGGATGATAACCTATTGATCAAATAGCTGGCAGTAAGAACACATTAACCCAAAAATTTTGAAGGATCTTTGGAATAAAAATGCAGGCATGAACAACCTCAAGTAAATGCCTATGCTTATGCTCATCTACCCCATTCTGCTAGGGAGTACGAACACAACTAGGTTGGTGGATTATACTAAGAGAGGGAAAAAAAGAAGAACACAATAAATTAAAAAATTTTGACCCGTTATCACTGCGAATTATCATAATAGAAGTATAGAATTGGTTTTGAATCATTAGAAAAAGGATTTTAAATGAATGACTGCATCACTTTTGAGTCGCAACAGAAAAACCCAAGTCATATGACTAAAATCATCCATAATAGTGAGAAAATATCGATATTCACTATGAGTAGAGACTCCATAAGAACCCCAAAGATCAAAATGGATTAGTGAAAAGGTTTTTCTGTTCTAGAAGTACATAAAGGAAATGGTAATGGTGTTTGTCGAGCCATGGGACAAATAGAACAATATTGCACATCACTATGATCAAACTTAACAGACTGGAAAATATGAGATTTGTGTATTTTATTAATGGAAGCATGCCCAAGTTTAGCATGCCAAAGTTCAGTAACAGAAGAAGAACCATGAACTACAGGTTTACAAACAAATGAATTTGAAAAAAAAAGAAATAACAGGAGAAGAATTTGAACCCAAGGATGTAAAAGAAGAATCGAGCAAGTAAAGACCTTCACGTTCCTTACCAATCCCCTTGATCTTTTCACTGGGGATGTCCTGCAAGATACAAACTGCATGATAGAACAAAACAACACAATGGAGTTCAGTGGTCATTTTAGTGATAAGATTATTATTGAACTCAGGGACAAACAAAACATCATGAATTACGTGATCGACATTAAGAACTTAAGAACCAGTATAAGTAATGAGGTTTTTTTCCATTAGGAAGATGAAAATCGATTTTTGGAAGCACATGCAATAGGCATTTTCAAACAAGAGAACTCAAAAGTAATATGATCTGTAACACTAGTGTTCAAGATCCAACTTACAGAAGAAGAAGTACCTGAAGTTTGACCCAAAAGATTAAAAGAGGACTCACGGGAAGGAGCTTGGTGCAGCAAAGTTAGAATTTTATTGTTCTATTCTTGAGTAAAAATTGGGGCAGGAGATACATGGGACGATATAGCAGGAACTGGAGCTGAAGTAGTAGTAGAATCTCCAGGATTGTCAAGTTGAACAGTAAGAGCAGCTTGAGCATCATTTTTTTGATTAAATTTAAAATCATCAGGGAACCTATTCAATCGATATCATTGATCCTTTTTGTGACCTCGAACCTTACAATAGCCACAAGTGCCATTGAATCGACGTCGACCCATACTACCAGGGGTTGTAGAAGAATTAGAGTAAAAAATAGTAGAATCATGAATCGAAGATATACCAGTGGAATGAGAGCATTGAGACTCCTCTTGAACCATCATCGAGTATGCCTGGTTAAAAGAGGGGTTGCAAAAGAATTAGAGTAAAAAAACAGTAATATCATAAGAATTTGATTGCGAATGGGAGAATACGACTCATTTAAACCCATCAAGAACTGAAAAAGATTTTGTTAAAGAGCATTAGTAGTATTTTGCTGAGCATTGGCGCAATCGCACAAAGGAAGAGGAAACAAAACACCGTATTCATCCCAGAGAAGTTTTAATTTGTTGAAATAGGTCAAAATTGAAGAATCCCCTTGAACAAGGGTTGCAATCTCTAGGTGTAGAAAATAAACCCCAGAACCATCAACTTTGTCAAAACGCTCTTTCAAATGAGACCACACAAGAGCAGTACTAGAAGAAAAAACAATATCAGCGGAAATATCCTTGCTAACAGAATTAATCAACCAAGAGAGCACAATCGCGTTGCACCGATCCCATTGAGGTTGAAGCTGCTCAACAAAATCATATCGATGACAAACCCCATCAATAAACCCCAAATTATTCTTTGCAAGAAAAGAAATACGCATAGACCTACTCCAAACGTTGTAATCATGAACGTTGGTGAGCTAATGAGAAACAAGAACAGCACCCGGTGTATCAGACAGATGCAAATACAAGGGATGCGTAAAATCAATCTCCGAAACATCTTGTGGAGGCATCGCAAGGAAGAAACAAAGAAAGAATCAAAGGATTCGCGGGAAACAAACACAAACCCTAGAAACAAATAATTGGGACTTTTTGCACGGTGATAGTTTCCAAAAACAGAAATGAGAATTGAAATTTTGGACTATTGAAAAATAAGCCGAACAACTCAAGAGCCCAGAAAAGTGACATCTTATACCATGTTAAAATGAATAATACCTCAGCTTTTATTTCACTTAACTTAAAATTACAATTCCTATGTATTTATAAAGCTTTACTAACAAGAATAACAAACTAATTTTCTAACTGCAATTTCTACAGCATCCACATAAATAAATATTGGTAACAGTTTCGGCAATTTTTATTGTTTATTTTTTTGGGCTAATGATGTTAAAAAAGTAAACGATACTTGCAGCCAATAATACACCATGGTCACGAGCTACTTAAAATGTGGATGCTCATTAAAGTTATGGCGTTCAACAACTTGAATGCAGAGAGGCCGATTTACACTATATATCATAACAAAATTATACTAAAAATTTGTTAACGATTTACTCACACCTACTCGAGTAAAGTATGAGGGTAGTTCTACTGTGCGGCACTTAAAAACGGTTAATATACGGCGTGATCGGTTAAACAAGTGACCGGTTAAAATTTAGATCGGTTATGTTATATTATTTAACCGGAAATATTATCAAGCACAACAACATATTAGGTAACGCTTATATAATGTAATAGATAGCGCTTATATAATAAAATAGGTATTTAACCGGAAATATTATCAAGTACAATAATGTAATAGGTAGCGCTTATATTGACCTATTTTATAAGTAAATCGGTATATTTATACCGGTAACATTGCAAATTTACCTATTACATTATAATTATCGGTTTCGATATTTTTTGGATCGATAATTTTTATAAATGTATCGACACTATATGCGTTCACCTTTTGTCATATATAGACCGGTTTTATCATATTTTTACATGTTATATTATTATGGATCGATACATTTTTATAAAGTATCGACACTTTATTGGTGCTATAACTTCTTCTCTTATTAATTCCAAAAGTGTCGATACTTATAATAAATTATCAACACTTTCAACATATCCGGTAGCGCTTTACCTGTTTTTTCATTTCGAGACTGGTTTTGTCATATTTTTACCTGTTATATTGTTATGGATCGATACATTTTTATAAAGTATCGACACTTTATTGGCGCTATAACTTCTTCTCTTTTAAATTCCAAAAGTGTCGATACTTATAATAAATTATCGACACTTTCAACATAACTGGTAGCGCTTTACCTGTTTTGTCATTTCGAGACCGGTTTTGTCATATTATTACCTGTTATATTGTTATGGATCGATACATTTTTATAAAATATCGACACTTTATTGGCTCTATAACTTCTTCTCTTTTAAATTTCAAAAGTGTCGATACTTATAATAAATTATCGACACTTTCAACATAACCGGTAGCGCTTTACCTGTTTTATCATTTCGAGACCGCTTTTGTCATATTTTTACATGTTATATTGTTATGGATCGATACATTTTTATAAAGTATCGACACGTTATTGGCGCTATAACTTCTTCTCTTATTAATTCCAAAAGTCGATACTTATAATAAATTATCGACACTTTCAACATAACCGGTAGCGCTTTACCTGTTTTGTCATATTTTTACATGTTATATTGTTATGGATCGATACATTTTTATAAAGTATCGACACTTTATTAGCGCTATAACTCTTCTCTTTTAAATTCCAAAAGTGTC